TACGAACAACTCCTAAACATACTTATTTCAGAAAAAAAAATTGAAAAACAAAAAAACCCTAAACCGAGACAAAAGAAAAAGAAAAGAGAAAAATACCTACCGAGTTCAACCCCCGACAAGATGCCAATGTATTTAGCAACACAACAACTTGCTGAATTGACTTCACATCATCTTCGCAATGCTCAAAAAGATAGTCCAGCAAAGTTTTCATGTTGTCCAGTACGATATCACGAACGTTCTTGCCATCCAGGGTAAGTACTGCAACCGACTCGTGAATAACATTTGAAGGGAGAAAAAAAGAAAAAAAAGACAATGAATTAAGACATTAAGACAATAAGCAGAACTCACCAGGTGCATTGACAGGTCTAGCTACAGGATGATCTATTGCCGCAAGTGATGGTGAGTCTTCGAGACAATAGTTGGGGCCTTCGAAAAATGGAAGAGATGCCGAAGCTCCGAGAACTGCATTTCGAACAAGTAGGATGTGATGCATCATGTCTTTCCTACAAATTGCGCGTTGAAGAAAAGTGAAAAAAAAAAGAAAAATGAGTAGATACGAAAAGAGAAACGAACTTTTCCATGCCCTGTGGTGATGCCAGCGCCTGTAGCTGCGGCATAACAAAGTCGCGGAAAAGCTCTGCAGCTTTGTCAATGTCTTCTTGTGAGGGAACATGCCTGAAAGAGATTTTGAAATAATGAAAAACACCTACGGAGCGCCTGAAAAGCCTGAAAAGTAAGAACTCACCATTGAGGCTGCCAGGTCTTCTTGTCCACAGTGGCTGACCAGTGCTAAAAAATCATTGATAAAAATGGTCAAAACGCATTTTGTTACAGTGTAGCGGAACGTACCCTGATAGCCAGATCCTCCTCCATGCTCTTATCAGCATTAGCTCGACGAGTAGGCGATTCAAGGAGGTAAATACTACATAGTCCTTCAAGTACGCTCTCCAGGATAGCAGTAGCTTTCTGGAAAATTTTACCTCCACTATTCGTCCAAAAATAACATACATACGCATATTATGAAAACCAGCTGTTCCCTCAGATCATCTCCGTTGGATGTTTCGCTAAGAAAAGAAATCAATTCGCATACGTAAGAAAACTGTCGCTCATAAAATTTCACGAAGCACTACCATCATGTTAGACACATGCCATAACAGATTTATAACCTTCCTACGTCCACGAAAATGCGTAATCCGGAAAATTTGCAATGAGCGAAACATACCTCTGTAGCCAGTGTACATTTCTTCAAAGGCAGAACTATCTCTAGCAAACCACGTACTTCATCCCAATTTTCGAGTAGATACTGGGATGGCGCCTAAAATAACAAATTAACATGGCTTTATTTGACCGAGTGTGATGATTACAAACATTATATCTGAAAATTAAAAATTACCTTTAGAACTCGATCAGCCATAGAAAGCCACCATATCACTTGAAAGTCCACTTTCTCTTCAGAGTATGTTTCAGCTA